GTGTAACACTTTGGATAAACCAGTGAATGAGGTTGTCCTCTGTCATGCTTGTCCTGGTTGAAAGTGAGAAAAAAGGTCATGTTACAGAGGGAAAATTGCCTTTTGTCACTTTCAAGTTATGCAATAATCTGGTTTATATGTGTTGGCTTGCCCCGAGGTAGGCCAGTGCAGTGTTGAAAAGTGTTCGAAGCAGGACAGCAAGTCTGCAACATGGTGCAACTTACCGAAGAGCAAAGAGTGTTTGTCGTGACTTGAAAACAAGAGCTTTCAAGCCACCCAAGCTGCATTTTAGGGAAGCCTTCCCTGGTAGGGATCCACCGGCAAAGTCGACCATCTGGTAAAATGTGCGCGAATGCCGAGAACATGGGACTAGCCTTAATTTGAATAAGGGTCATTCGGGAAGGAGGCGCACAGAGCGAACTCCTGGAAACATTGTTGCAGTTCGACAGCAACTTGTCGAAGAGCCAAAGGGAACCAGTTGCAGGAGGGATGGACTTGGACTGTCCCATTCTTCGTTTAACCGCATAACGAAGTTAGACCTGCAGTTCCATCCATACCGAATACCAACTTTTGCGTGGAGACCTCAGGAGGAGACGGAGTTTGCTCAATGGCTCCTGGAACGCATCCAAAGTGTTACACCTGAGTTCGGATGCCCCATTTTCAAGACAATGGTATTCAGTCATGCATGACAGGAGGGATACCATCAAGTTATCATTAGAAAAAATACTGCTTCTACTTCTCGGAGATCCTTATACATTATAATCATATGTCATTGCCTGGGCATATTAACCCCTTTCCTCAGGGTTTGGTGGTTTTTTTCTGGGACACCCTGTACAGTGCCACACCCCGACTGGTGAACAAATGCCAATGTGGAAATCAGTGGTTTAATGAACGCAGGTTTTCTTCTTTGAATAAGAGAAAACGCCATTTTTCATGGAGCCACTCTGTAGACATATTCTGTGACAAGTCTGCGGGTAGATTGTAAGGGCACGAGCCAATTTGAATATATGTTACCTTGCTCCAAGAAAAAAATCACACTCTTGTTCCCAGGGGACCTGTGCAGATGCGTGTCAAATTAAAGATGTAGCATGTTTATCCGGAGACAGCCGTATATTATAATGAAGCTGAGGGTCTTGACACAGGTTATGTAGTGCTTTCAGAATGAAACACAAAACTCTTCGGTACATTCATATTGGCCTATTTGGAATGGAATATCGAATGAAACATTAAAAACTCAATATTGTTTCAAAACATTTATCTATAGGGAGATGTTAATATTCACCTGATTCATTTTATAAGTATCACCAGCCATTAATTTTGTTACAGCTTATATCAAATCAAAGGCTCTTTCAAAGAAGAGCTATATTTACGTCATTATCAATATTTCATTGTTAAAGTTGACCCCAAATCCTAGAGGATATCACGGGCAAAACAGACTGCAAATACAAAGAAATTGCTTTTCGGCACAGAGTTTAGGGGGACAGTATGAAAAAGCTTACCATTTGCAACATGCAGAAAATAGTGCAAACTGATGTCAACTGGATTTAAACATCAAAATCTTGTCATTTGCCGTTAAATCAGCCACATGATGTTATTTCTGCGTGGCGTTTGGTTTGGCAGAAAGGTTTAGTGACCAGACGAGAGTGGAAATTGTTTGGGAGACTCCACAAAGTCCATCGAACAACGAAGGTATAGCAACTGTAAGCAGGTGACAAGGTCTACAGGAATTCTTCCTAGTTTGTGTACATTTGGAAAATGTTCATTTCAGGACGTGTTCCGTCAATGCAATACGCAATCAGTGTGAATCGAACATTTTCCACGTTCCTCTACACAGATGAACAAAAATTCAGTGTACACTGCTTGCACGTGTGGTAAATGGAAAGAGAATTATTGATCACATTGACACAAAACATGATCAGAAACATTCAACTCGAAAAAATGTACAACCATGGACGTGCCATTTCGTGAACTGCACAAAGGTGGCAGTCCTGTACGATGCGCGCTGCTCTTCATGTTATCGACACACATGGAATAGTATTCAAAACTCTGACAACAGATGCGTACAGTTTACTGTGCGTACATACTAGGGCCAATCAGAAGTGTAACATGAGCCGGTCCCTATAATTTATTATTGGGACGGGCGGAGACGGGGACCAGTCAGGTTCCAAATAAAGCCTGTTCAGACCACCAGCAGTGCGCCCTCTTCCGTTATTATCTAAAATGTCTATTACTTATTTGTTTCCACGATCAATTTAAAATGTACAGTGACGTCTCTCCTATGATAGTTAATCGTGATGATCATTAATCCACCCCCTAGGTGTGTGGAAAAAATATGGGAACTGACGGGTTCTAATTACCCGTTGCTGTTAACTTACCTCACTGAGAAGACACTGTCAGCTTCAAGTTGTGGATTGGCATGTAAGAGGACCAAAGGAATGTGGCATGGTGATATAAATGCTTCTTTGATTTCTTGCTCTGCCTATGACGCAGTGCTGATGATGGCTTTGACGCGACCTACCACACCAACGTGTTGATCAACTCGTCTGGCTACTGCGTCTGGATTCCACCGGGGATCCTCCGCAGCACCTGCCAAATCAACGTCGAATATTTCCCTTTCGACGAGCAGATCTGCACGCTCAAGTTCAGCTCTTGGACCTACGACGGCTTCGCGTTGGACCTCATCTCCAAGAACGACAGCTCTTTCACTGACTCCATGACAGAGAACGGGGAGTGGGAGATGCTAAGTGAGCAGACTACCAACAAGTCTAAGCATTTATGCATTATGCGTTTGGCATTAACCACAAAGTTTATCTGATCATGGCATCTTTGGCAAGAGTGCAGACTTCTGAAATCTACGGAAGCGCATTTAGGACATGACTAAAATTATCTGCCCACTGATTTGACCGGGCGAAGTAGTAATCCTCCAGAGCGACACATTATTTCACCCAGGCGAATTAATGGGGCAAAATGTTATTGGTTGTGTCCTAAATACGCTTCTGCAGAAAATCCGTTGTAAAGAACCACGCTGCAAAGTCGGACTTTTTTAGATTCCCGTGTTTTCTCTTAAATTTGCCCCCCAAAATCCTCACCTCCTCATTGGAAGGTGAAAGTACCATGTCTGTCGGCACTTTCAATTCTGCAAAACTGGTAACAATGGTAGCATTGGGGGGGGGCAGGAGGGACAGTCGTACCCTTACACTCCGCCTTTCATTGCTCAGCACAATTTGAACTAAGTAACATTACATCTTACTATTGAGAAATTGTACTAGTTGACTGTGTCATTAGAGACTCATTATCAATTGTTGGTTTGTTTTTTTATAAATTTTCCAAAGGTATGTGGGCGGTGAGGGAAGTTGAACCATTTGAGAGTACAACTTACGTCGCGGTTACCTTTAAACTCCACATCCGTCGACGTTCCCTCTACTACTTCGTCAATGTCCTCATCCCGTGCGTGCTTATCTCCATGCTGACGGTGCTCAGTTTCAGTCTTCCACCAGACAGCGGGGAGAAATTGTCTTTCGGTAAACACTGCCTGTTTTGAAGAACTAGGCGTGGTTTCCTACCGGACCCTTGGTGGTAGCAAACACGTTTGCTACCCCTATAGATAGACCGATCCGATGACAAGAATCAGGAACGATTAATTCCTGCGGTGTTACCCACGCGCGTGAACAAAAGAGAATGCTTCGCCTTCCGTAATTGGGAGCGCACTGCTGACCAAAAATCACGCGCTCGTCCATTTTAGGAATGCGCACCTGAGTGGCGGGGACTCCGCAGCAATGGCCGTCAGGGAATCGCTCTATAGCCTGAGAATTGGAGATCCTTGTCATGTCCTTCCTATTGCTGGCTTCTTTTTTTTTCAGTTGCAGCACGTAGTCTTTATGAAACAAGAACCATGCATTACAGGGACCCACCAAGTTTGGGTTGGTTTGTTTACCGCGGCATCGTACCTAATTTGATGCATCTTATGCTAGGTAGTTGTTCGTTAATTAACAAGGCTGAGTGCAAAATAGCCAGCCTACTGCAACTGCCCTTGAAACTGTGCAGAAATGAACCAGTTTGGCTAGCCTCAACTGTTTTCAGTGACTTTTTCCATTGACACATGCAACAAGTAAGTCACACGTCAATTCCCCAATTGTCATTACCATGGAATCATAGTGAGCCAGGGGCAAAACCTTTAAAGATCAGGCAATTAGACATTGTAGTGCTGAGGAAACTCTCCCATAATGGTGTTAACAATTCATACATGTATATTCCACTGCAATAAACGCCAACATTGTTTTGTTGTTTGTCATTTTTCCGCAGGTGTTACCATCTTACTGTCACTGACAGTCTTCATGATGATAGTAGCCTCGGCCATGCCCGAAACGTCTTTCGTAATTCCACTGATCGGTGAGAAACGAACGCACAATACGGGCGATTCACAGTAGTGCGCCACCAAGAGTTTGCCACACGTTGGCCGATCAAAACGCGCGAAATTTGTTGACCCTTTCCAAACGCACATTGGGTCGACAAATTTAGCGCATTGTGATTGGCCAACGCGTTGCAAACTCTTGGTGGCGCGCTATTGTGAAACGGCCATATTTTATACGCTTTAATCTGGCTACCGGCTCGACAGATTGGGTGCTGTGATTAGCGGAAATGCGTGCGCATGCTAAGTTTATGACTACGTTGCTGCAGTGTCACCTAGGCATGGCATTTAAAAAAATTCAACAGGATAAACATAAACATTGAAACGTATGACTTTTTAAATTAAACCTTTGGAAATGAATTGAGTATTAACAGTTTTTTGTTTGGAGAAATCAGATTTCAATGTGTATATTGATGAATTTCGTATTTAGGTTTGTAGGGTTATGGAAAAGACAATCCGACGTAATTTGTTGCATTTCGATGATACCGGTTCCTGCTAAGATGACACACATTGCCACTTTTTCTAGGCTGTAAGTTGGTGATTTCTTTGTTGCAAATTCAATAATGTGTTTATTATGCTGTTTGTATCCTTTCAGCTAAATACTTCACGTGTGTGCTGGTCTTGGTGGCGCTCTCCGTCGTCTGCACTGTCATCAGTTTGAACCTGCACTTCCGCAACCCTAATACGCATAGCATGCATGGATGGGTAGGAGACACTGGCCATTTCCCTTGATTTTACTTGATGGCACCTTTTTCCGAGTAGGGTCTCATTGGAACTCTCTTTCAGTAATCATAATCATAAATAATTTTATACTAAATTATTAACGTATCTTTAATTGGGAAGGACCATAAACATCCTCATTTAAGATCGCCGATGTAAAACGTCATTTGTAGTAGAAAAGGGAATGATTCGGGTGGTGTAGAAGAGTAATTATATTGTATTTGGGAATGGAATAATTATTGTGAAATGAAAGAATGCTCCTATGTGAATACAGCGCTCATTGATATAGCCCAGAAACCGTTTTGAAAGGAATCTGTAGCGCATTTGCACAACTACAGATACCCAGAATAATGTATACCTTTCACATTTGATTGTATGCTTCATAAGGAAGTTCGTATTGCCCTCCATTTTATGTCGTTCCGTTTCGTCCTCAGCTTCATTGCATCTTACTTGATTACCTGCCGTGGATACTGCGCATGACTCGCCCGGGCCGGGAAATCGCCAATCCCTGTTACTCTAAGCACGTGACCGGCAAACCGAAGAAGGACTTTGAGCTGATGGAGCGATCCCCGCTGCGCAACCGCGCCACGGGGCTGGGGGAGAAAGCCACCCGCAACGGCATCCGGACGGGGAACTGCCACGGCTACCTGAACTCCACAGACGCCATTGGGGTGAAGTACGCCAACTACGCGACGGGCACCGGCGGCGACGGGGCCGAGGTGGAGCCGATGCTGAGCGTGGACCACAAGGGCTGCACAGGCTGCACCAACAAGGGACCTATTCTGGAGGAACTGCGGTTCCTTACCAACAGGTACCGGAAAAAGGAGACCGAGGACGAGGTGATATCCGACTGGAAGTTCGCGGCCATGGTGGTGGACCGGCTCTGCCTCGTCGTTTTCAGCATCGCTACTCTCCTCGTCACGTTTATCCTCCTGTGCACCGCACCGAATTTCGGAAAATGAGGGCTGGGGAAAACGAGAGCCATCGCTTACGTGCCATGGTGGCTCGAAATGAAGAGAATGTCTTTCACTTGGGCCATGTCCTACTTCCTTTACACAGTAGAGACATGCACGACACCAAGATTGTTTATTCAGGCATTTTGAAGAACAGCATATACCTGTGCCGCTACAGTCAATGGTGCAGGTTCGCAGCTCCCTGGATGACACCATTTTGGGAAGGTCCAAGCAGGGAAAGAATGACAGTTCTTTGAGAATTTGCTGGGATTTCTGCTGTGTTAGTATATTATGGATATTGTTAGGGGACCAGCTGAGGACACGGTAAACGGTTTAAATCATTTTCACAGCAATTTTGGCGTGAAACCGAGGTTAGAGGGAAACGTAACTGGCTGTCTGTTTTTCATGAAACCATTGTAAAGGGATGAGAAACCTGCAGAAGATATACAGTAAAAGAGAAGGAATTAAGATGCTTGGAGATTATGAGTTGTCTTGGGCTATTTTTGTACGGTCTTTCAGCACGATTTCCAATCAGATGTTCTCAATAAAGCAGCGACGTTCAAGTTGCAGAGAAAGTATTGATTATGAAGTTATAGCGTACCCTGAAGGTTATAAATAAAAGATAATTTCTCGTCGAGACAAACAATATTTTGCCTTGTTGTGTGTTGGGTACTGAATAATAAAGTAACATGTAATACTTGGTACTACCCAGAAATAGCAAAGGGGAAACAGGTTTAAGTGGGTTTATTTTGGATGACCGCATAGGAACATTTTATAACAATTTCTTGGCATCCCTAGAGCAGTGTGCTAGATTTAAGATACATTATCTAACATTTTGAGACCATAAGTAAGTTTAAGTATGTAACTAAAAAAATGACCCACTTAGGTATGACAGTTCTTTCTAGAAACGAGTCTGGGTTTGTTATGCATGATTTCAGTCTCTGGTCAGTACAGGTCAAGATACATCGTTGGACCTTTTTACCAGAACATTGGTCATTGGGGGAAAAAGCCTCTCGTAAGGCACCTGTTACATTCAGTCATGGCAGTATTTATGAAACCTACGGGAAGAAAAGAAAACAGCCTACAAATACAACAGTGAACAAAGGCCCGTAGTGTTAATGCAAATTATGAATAAGAAAGCGTTTGATTCAGGTGTGACGAGGTACGTTTTAGTGGTATACTGGGTAGAAAAATACACAATGACTATTTCCAGTGTGTTTTATAAAACTATATATATTTGATGTTTCAATGACATTTTGCTAATTGACGGGCACTTGTATGCATCCTATTGAATCAGTGTTTTGTGTTGTCTAAATTATATGGAATACCATGACGTTGCTTTAATTAAGGTGACTGACCACTGGATGTACATTCGATGTAATTGGTGTTGTACTTGTATAAAGGAATATGTTCTATATATTGTACAGTAGTAAGTGCAGGCACGGTTTGGGTATTTTGCAGGTCAAACAGTTCAATGTGCAAGTTTTTGTTTCTTTGTAGTATATTCTATGAACTAATGTATAAACTAAAGATTAATATCGGCATTGATTACTTAGCTGTGATGGGATTTCTGCCCAATTTTTGTAAACTCATGCTTATTGCAAGTTTTCCTGAAAAGTTTAAGACCATTCTCGCTTTTCAGGTCTATACATGTATGTCCTCAGTGTGGCTCCGTAAGTAGCCATTAAGGGCCCTGTGCACAACTCGGAATGTTTTTAGCACTTAAAAGGTTCGCATTTGTGCATGTAAAATTTCAAAGTATTCAAAGTAATAGGCATAAGGAAGGAAATGTTTTGAGCTCACTCGCAAAAATGTGGAAGGGTCGAATCTTGTCTATCAATATGTCCTGTACTAATGTCTGTTTATTTAACCAATCAGACAAGTTTTTATCTGAAAAGGGACTTAGCTTTTGCTTGATATTATATTGAAGATTCACATTAAAATGTTTTTCACCCCATTGGCATTGTTCATAGGTAAGTGGACGAGGATTGTTGATCCATTGAAATTAAGTATAGGGCGCTTTGCCGTGCTATATATGTTGCAGATAGCATCTCTTGACAATGGCATTCCTGCATAAGAGCATATGCGGCTCGCCTCTTCGTGAAAGAGTGGCGGAATACGGTGTACGTGGACTTTTGAGAACGTTTTAATAATGCTTTATTTGCAATAGCATGTTTAAATATCACAATTGTTTTAAGATTTGAAGCTAATTAAGAGTTGTAGAGGTAAATTTCCCTGGTGGAATTACTTCTTGTTAGATGTGTTTTAAGTATACCGCGGTAATGTTGTCGCCTATAACATCAATAGATTTTAAAGAGTGATTTTTGTTTTTTTGCTGTATTGTTTCTTTAAGTGTGTGTCTAAATATAAGCAAATGCTGCGCCCGAAATTGGCCGTAAACTAAATGGCAGGCGCAATTTTTTTTCAACTGTAAGACATGTGCACCAAAAGTACAATTGCTTGAACTCACCTTCTGCACCTGTACCGACTTGACAGGGCTTTGGTCATGATGACGGCTATTGGACCTACACGATTTGAATGTAAAGGCTGGCAAGTCAGGGGAATCAACCCTCAAAAGTGAAGGCCATCCATGAAGTCCGAAAGCACGAAATATGCCCGTGCGTATATACGTGCATACGGCTTAAGTCTAGGTGTTTCCTCCGCCCGTCGTAAGCATGGCATACGCGCCGCATATTATACCCATCACACTTGTCAGACTACCGCAATAAATGTGTGTTATAACCGGAGTTCGTATAGCTTCCAGTGCATGAAAACTGCTGCTAGTGGCATGAAACATGTTAAAGTACGTTGATTTAGTGACAATTGTTTGAAGACAGCTGTTCACTTAGACTCTATTTAATAACTTTACGCAATGGTGGGGGGGGGTCTCCAGGCACATTCTGAGTGCAATGTCAACAACACCCTCCGTACAAAATGTACCCTGTGGGCAATTCCTTGGGGGTGATTACGTTATTTCACCTCCAGAGTAAAACAGGGCAAGTGAATTTATATATTTACCTCAAACAGTAGAAAAACCTCGACTCTCAGTATCAAAGTAAAATACTTTTGAAACACAAAAAATGACCAGAAAAACATTATTTATCTCCCTTTATTTGCTTTTTGGAGCAACATTCTTATGGAAGTATTTAATAGTAGTAATCAAACTTGACAACCCGTGTCCAATGGCACCTATGGACATCCAGGTCACCATTTTAAATATCAAATAATACAAGGAGAAGAAAAGGGAAAAACAGTAACAATCAACTTTACCGTCAATAAAATTTCCATTAATAGTTCACGTCGAGATATTCGGTATTTGTTTCTTTTCTGTACCTTTGCCTATCAACTGTTGATCATTTTACCTGATTAACTGCTTTTAGGCCTATAGACCTGCTAAAACTGTGGTTCCAGAATACTGATTTGGTATATGCAGAATGACAGAGCACTGAGAATAAGTGTTTTGAAGCTAGTTTTGGGTTTTACCAAAGATGTCCTAACAAGTATTATCATAATTTTGATTATAATCAGAACTTTAAAAAGGGCAACGCCTCCAGTCCATTCAAGGATCTGCCTTTTCCCTTAAAACAGACCTTTTCACTAATCAATTCGTAATTGTACACGCATGCGCACCAATGGCCTTGGCGGTAAGTGCCATTGAAAATGTACAGGGGTGCTATTGGGATCATTTTTCTCTCAGGTTTTTTGGGCTCTGCTCATTTTTTCTTCAGAAAATCGCACTAAATCGTTTTTGCTATAAAACAGCCCGATAGGTGATCGGGTTAGAAACGGCAATCTTGTGCGCACAGGAAAAATCACGATCGTACAGTGTTTTTACAGAGCACTAAAAATATCACTTAGATTAGAAACTAATTGCAAAAACAAGTGGGATTTTCTGAAGAAAAAACTTAACAAAGCCGGAAAACCTGAGAGAAAATGGTCAAAATCGCACCCCTGTACATTTTCAATAGCCCACATACACTTCTGGCCGCCAAAGCCATTTGTGCGCATGTGTGCATGATGAATTTATTAGTAAGAAGGTCCATAAACTTTCCTCCGATTTTGGTATCCGTCATAAGTTTCTTCACCCTATCATTGTCAACTGACGTAGAAGTATTTGTTATCGATATAAAACAAATTATTAATAGCCGACCGGCGGTTGTATACAATTCAACCGGTGTTCAAACTCAAAGGCGCATGCTTCGTGTAAAGTAAACACATGAATTTAAAAGATTAAGTTAAATTTTCAGGCATTGTCCTGGTCTGAAGAGACTGGCAGTCAAAAACAGATGAAAGCAAGTAAACAAGGGCAATAAACACCAACCATTACACGAATCAATCTGGAAATATACAAATCAGTTCGAAAACACTGATTGCCTCCCGCTGCTGAGACATATTTTTCGAATCTCTGCAGTCTTTATTGGGACAGGCCGAACAACTGAACTTAACAAACACTGCTTGCATGGTATCGAATATCTGCATTCATCCGCTTATCCGTAGAGACGTGTCTTTCAGGTTCGACTACAGCAATGCTCAAAGGTGTATTTTAATGTTCTAAGAAACCAGGAGTATTGCTTGCATTGGATGCACGGTGATTGGAGATAGTTTCTTGTTCAAAGATCAAAGAAACATCCTTAACAACTCATCAGTAAATATCACATACTTTTCGTTTAGATGAAGTCGCTGACATATTATTGACTAGATAAAAACGTAAAGAGAGTGTCATTGGTGCTATAGCTCTGAGCTTTTCATTTTCGACAAATGACTGACCTCTTTACCGTGCAGCCGTCTGGATGAGAAACTTAATCTTGTCGTTTAAAAGGACTGTAGGGAATCAGATTGAATGCAACTCCCACATTTTGACAGTTCTCAGAGCCAAGTGTTTTGTCAATACAGTTAAACTTCTGAGATGAAATATCCAAATCCAAGCAAAAAGTGAAAATATCACCAACGGGCAAATGTACTCATACAGATGAGTAACGGTGAGTAAAAGGTGACAAAAAGGTGTATTGGCGTCACCTTATTTTTAAACTCACTATCAGACTGCCCGAATATTCCATATTGGGTTGAGCTGTGACTCAAAGCGGCATAGGACAATGACCTCCTCCACTAGCCAGATCCCTCTGCTTATCAACAAAATTCCTTTATGTAAACCTTCGTTCGACTTCAGACAGTGACGTATGAAAAAAAGCTGGACATTTTGTCAATCTACCGGGGGGAGGATCCAGGGGGCGTGGAGAAGCACGCCCCCTTCCCTTTCACCAAAAAATAAATACATAAAAAGAGAAGAAAAAGAGGAAAGGGTAAGACGAAGCTAGCTCATACTGCCTGAATCGCACCACAGAGCGCATCGAATCCAAACTTTCCCTGGGCCCCTAAGCAGGCCTTGGACCCCACACCGTCATGGCGCTACACGCTCGCGGGCAGTATAACATTGCTGCTGTATTTCACGGCCCCAATCCCTTTGGTAAATCCTGGATCTACCCTGATTTTTTTTTCAAAAAAGTCGCCACGAAACACATTAATGTTTACTTACAGAAGATTTGGAAGGTCATTTAAACAAAACTTAAAAACATTCTGCATCCGTTGGAACTTTCTGATAGGAACGGCTGCACAAACGGAACTCACACAAATGCCCCCAGGTGATATTTCATCTGTCTCCACATTTCAAACTATGGGAACATATTAAAAGCAAGTATTTTTCTGTCAGTGTGATTTTCACCGAAGAACTGATTCCCCTGAAACTTTTAAGGACAGGGAAAAGGGAAGAGGAGGAAAGCGCTTGTTGCAGTGTTTGAACAAAAAAGAACGTAAGCTGGCTTATTGTTATAGTGTGCACCGGGCTCATTGTAATATCCAGTCCGTGAATGATGACCCGGTAAAATGCTCTGCTTGCATTTTCTAAGAGCGGTGAAAATTCTCTGTGAGAACAACTGACCCCCCCTCCTTTCACTGATGAGACACCTTTTGATCCTTGTCGGCAACCCTCTCTACGGTTTAGAGCAGACGGTTCGTAAATAATGGACCACGTTTCATAACATGAGCCTTGGCGACACCTGGTAATGAAACAGGAAACGACTCAATTTAAACAAGAAAGTCTCAGACACAGACTGGAAACCTCATATACCAGGAATCTAGCTGTAGTTTGTTAGGACGCGCACTGCAAGCGATCGCCTTACCCGTCTCTCCAGCGACATCAGGAAAAACAGTTTATTTAGCAGAATACATACGCTTTTACATGCAATATAGTACACTGTATGAATGATAGTTTATGGTAGTATGAAATGCATCAGTAGCCTATATGTAGCTGTTTTACATAAATGAACCGACTGCCCTTCAAACCCGTATCACCACCGTCATTATTTTTGAAATGATAATCAGTATTACAAATAGACGCCGCAGCGGTCCTCCATTTCACCAATCGGTATACTCCCCCTGCGTATTTACAAAAACCGATAAACATTCACAGAATAAATACTTTAATTCCATCCGAAAGACTTGCCAAGGAAAGGCCTAAGAACATGTCTGCAACAAGACAAATGAATACTTTTTTTTTTAAATGTGACTGTCCAACTCTCCATGAAAAATATGTATACTGCTTTCATGCTTAATTGCTTATTTGCCACAGTGTCGCTCGAGGCTGACAGAGAGATCTGCACTGGAACCCAAAAAACCAGGCCTGCCAAAAATACCGGATTATTAGAAATTTTACAACTACAAAAGTGAACCGTGGGTCCTGCCACTCTATAATAATTCACTCATATTGCAAAGTCATCTTTATACATTAAAAAATCTAACAATGTCTGCTGTTATTTTAGGGTTTATTTACAAGACGTTTAAATTGAAACAAAAATCACTAGTTAAGCCCTCTGAAAATATCAGTCGCCTGACCCTAATACACAGCTTTCTTGCAGTGAAGTCAGGACAACAAAGATAAGGTAGTCACAACACCAACATCAAATTCTGCTTAATTTTTGGCTAACCTTTGTACGAATCACCATGTGAAAACCACCAGCAGTGAGACAAAATGCAACGAATGACGGCGCTGTTTACAAGATCCTCCTGTGGATTCGACTGGCATACAGGGGCATTCAGGTGAAACGGTTTCTCCAATGGCCGCCATTCTGTATGAAAAGCGCCACCACGACTCCAGCGCCCCCATCTTCAGACTGAACTACCGTGCAGTCGAACTCCACCTGCGGAACTTACAATTTGAGCGCAATCCTCCACTCAACGCCTTTTCATCCATTAAAAATTATTTGAAAGAACAAAATACTCCAAGTAACTTTTATCAAAGTTAAAATCGGTCAATTGTAGTCCAAAAGCATGTAATTTAATTCAATTATCTTACACAACTCGTTGACGGTTTTTTACCACCGTTGGAAGAAACAAAAAATTCCGATCCTCGTATAGTTTCGTAGTTCCCTACAAGAAGCGAACAGCAGTGTGTGGCATAAGCACCAAGTCTGTCGTATTATGTACAAGTTTGTGCGGCTTAATCCCGTGGTTGGTGGTTTCAAATCGACCTTCATTTCTGGAGCCAAAAGCTCTTCCGTCCTTTTGTCGGATCAGTTTTGCTCTTCTGACTTCCTAGATAGCAAGGGCTGTCGCTGAAATCTGTTACCGTCGGTTATGCTGTGGTACCACAAACAAAAGCGACGCTTCACACACAAAACAAATCCTCGTCCGATCAACTCTAGGATACACATGGAGTAAAATATCCAAGTCGGTCGGAACTTGTTACGCTGTCTTGCTGGTCTAATGCTTACTTCCTTTGGCAGGACTCTTGCCTCACCACCCAAGTAAAAGTGCACCGCAAATCCTCCAATCCGATATCTGTTAATTGTCCTGTATAGCAAGTGGCACAGCCGAGGGTCGCTAAAATTGGAGCACTGATTGAAAGGAATCGGCACGACGAAAATGTAGAAGGTGAAAATTGTTTCCCTTCACATTTGTTGAAACTCTAAACGCTGTTGTACACGCGCGCTTTGGCGAGGTTCGGCGAATAGAGATGTTAGTTTGTCATTTTGGATTCTGTGAGGGATTTTTTTCAAACATTACCCAATCGACAATCATCCTTGAAGTGTTTTCATGTAACCTTGACCATAAAAAGGAAAAGCGCGAATGTGGCAAACAAAAGCCTGGCTACGCGCGTTGTTGTTCCTTGACCTCCTCGAATATAAGGGGTGCGGATAGGATGATACCGCTGGTACCACATATGACACAGATGAGGAACACCCATAGGAAGATCCGGTCAATCACCGTGGCAACGTATTTCCAATCATCTGTCATCTGCAAAGAAATCACAAATTGAGAACACTCGTCACGCTATGTTTGTCAAGACCTCCGCTGAATTTCATGCATGGGGGCTCTTTGAATGAGGTCAGCGGCGGTTTGCAAACGTGTACACGCAAGCCAAGAATGTACAACCCTTGCAATCCTAAAGACCATTAAAATGTGTAACATTTATAGCCTGTCTGACGACCTTGGGTAGACACACCATATCAAAAAGTCATAAGTAACTGAAAGGTGACTAGGGGAAAACATCGCAGAAGGCGATCATGGATCCTCTGTCATTGCATACAATGAATTTTTGCAGTCTCAATTACTGAGAAATATACCCACAATTTGGCGGGCTAAAAGTTTATGCTAATGAACATCACAAAGCGTTGAGAAGTTGCGTTGTAGACTATATTGTTCTGGGCATGCGTAAAGGTCCTCATTAGGAACACTAGTTTACATTGAACAACATGACAAAAAACAAAAATAACTAACAAACAATCTACCAACGCTCAGTAGCTGATGGTAATTTTCTTTCATTAAGTGACATGAAGTAATGTTTGCGTCAGTGCAATGACATCCTTTTGGTTTATGACGTCACTGGTACCACACAGGTATATTCCCCATTAGCCTCTGCACGAACAGTTGGACACGTTTTGGCTCATACTTTTCTGACAAAAGTCATGTTTTTTCTTTGTTTATGTCATCTTTTGATGATAGTAAGCTGCGATCAGTGCCCAACACTGCTTTCCATGGAGGCCCTCAGATTTACAACGTGAGTCAATGGTAAACAAGGGAGTCTCTGACAACCACCCGCATTTGCCCGCTCTGTGGAGAGGAGACAGTGAGAAGCAGTTACAGTTTTAGAGGTGGGAGGGTAAATCCAGGAGAATATTATGGGTAAAAACCCACGGAATCAGGTGGGATTGAAAACCCACTCCACATGTGGACCGAGCAGGGAATTGAACCCAGGCCGCAGAGGCGAAGGCGAGGAAAGAACCACTAAGCCAACCAGACTGAAAAGACCCTCTTAGACTTCTGCATAAAGTTTTTAAAGCAAAAAATAGAAGAAACTTTCATGGTATTTGGAAGGAAAATTAGCAAAGGCATTGCGCACAGGGAAAAAAATGTACTACCTACCCTGCTGTAATCTTCTTCGGTTTTGAAGTGTGTCGCAATAAACCGCACGCCGTCAACGGCTTGTTTAAACTCCTTCGAATAACGGGTACCGCCGGAAGATTTGGTGGATTCGCCATCACTACCAGCCACGTCGTCCGATAGCGTCCTGAGCTTGAAGCCTGGATGATGGTTGTCGTAAATGTCCCGACCGTTACTCCGAGTCGAGTCTGCGTCCTTGTGGACGACTTCTTTCAGCTCGAAGTAATTGGGGTCTCTCTGCGTGTTTTTGTTCACCTTGCTGGGGTACCGTTGCGGGCGCTTCATGTACAAAAGGGGAGGCAGGATTTCCAGAAAGACGCGGCGTACCCAGGGTTGCATGATGTGCGTGCTGGGAGCCCGGTAGTGGATATTGAGGACGATGACAGTGATGACAATGGACAGGGTGACCAAGACCATTGTGAAGAGAAGATACCGGCCGATGAGCGGGATGAGCAAGGAGGTAGGGGGAATGATCTCGGCGATCAGTAGCAGGAACACAGTCAGCGCCAGTAGCACCGAGATGCACAGCGTGATCTTCTCGCCGGAGTCCGAGGGGAGATAAAACACCAACACCGTCAGGAAGGAGATGAGCACACAGGGCAGGATCAAGTTGACCGTGTAGAACAACGGCTTCCTGCGGATGATCATGTTGAAAGTGATGTCCGTGTAGATCTCGTCACAGCAGGGGTACTTCACCGTGTTCTTGGTACCAGGCGTACCGATGATATACCACTCGCCGCTCGGCCAGTAGTCTTCCAGGTCCACGTCAGGCCCGCCCAGGGGCATCAAGTCAATCAGCAGGCCGTCATAAGTCCAGGAGCCAAACTTCATGATGCACTCTTGCTCGTCAAAGGGGAAGTACCGCACATCTATTTTACACGAACTTTTGTAGATGGCCGGTGGAAGCCAATATATTGTCCCATCGGAATACACAAGAGCTTTAGTCATTAAAGTCACTTCGTATTTTCCGTCAGCACTACAGATTGCAAAAACAAAATGAGCAAAGAAACGAATAAAAAAATAAATTCAAAGTATCTTGCACGAATTATAGGACACTGCTTATTCGAATAAAAAAGAACCCATCGAGCTTTTCCAGTCCATTATAGAAAGATTTAATCTGGTTTTCAAGAAAACATCTTGACGGAAATCGGCGTTTGAAGTGTCATGCACCTACATTGTGTTTACACAAGACGTTGTGCAAACGGCTTCATTTCTGTACAGTCTGGTTACCGGATTTAACACTTGACATTACTGGGGTAGCATGTGCAAATGTGATGAGTGCTTAAGACTTATAAGGGAACGAAGGTAGACAGGGCTACGCTCTTTAGGCTCTCAGATGTCAAAGTGAATGAAGTCAACGATATATAATTGGCCTGTGTGGGCGGGATATACAGTCCTTATAGTCCTGTATAGATTCATCACTATGTTAATTCACTACCACGTATATCGGCAGTACCTATTCGGCAACGGATGGTGCTGATTCATCCACATGGTGGGAATTCAACATTAAACGGTGTCTATTTAACACCAAACTTTTTTAATTCCACACCACATGATGATGGAACAATGTTGGATGTTGCAAATTCTATGCCAACACTGCACGTTGACACCTCACGGCAATGACCCAATACTGCATAATTATGAAACTCAATATAGCACGATGTAGAATCAACACCACACGTCGTGAATTCGGCACTCCAATTTGTTTAAGAGCCAAACTCTGTCAATCCCAATCCTTCTATTGTCCATGACAGTAAAGTCGCAAGGCCCCTTACTTCGCCACCTTTTGTCACGTCTGACTGGTTTTCACAGTAAGTGGCGAATAGGGAAGCTGCAGTTGCGACTGTACCGTCACGGACGTTGGATAGAATATTTTCTTACCTCTTTAATTTAACAAATAGAACGATCATTATGGGCTAAAAAAACCTCTCCCAAGACTGCTTATTTTCTAATTGAATGAAACGACGATGTTCTGATGCAGAAAGTGACCGCCCAAGATTGTTCACCTTTTTAAGCGGTAACTGTTTTAGGGTCACTCTTTGAAGCAATGTTAAATTTTTTAATACAAAAAATAGGAAACGCCCCCCCCCGAGCAAGTCTCGCTTGGCCCGCAGACATGCTGCACTCAGTCAAGCAAGTTATAATGTAGCCTGGACTTACTTGTTGTAAAGAACAATATCTGGAAGCCAAATCATAAGGGCTGGGACTCGAAGAATACTGATACCGTCATAATCGTCTGGATTCCAAGTTAGCTTGTAGTCGTTCCATTGCTGTGCAAAACATATACAGCTAACATATTACCAACATTTACACGACAGAATTTTTTGACAAACTTTACCAAACGGCTGGAAAATTCAACATGAAATTTGGTTATCATAACTGCAAAAGTGCATCATATTGGTGTTTTGGGTAACTCTAAATTGACATGGAAACCTAAATGCTTTTGTTTCAATTTAACAAGGTCCAATGAGGTTCAACATCACCACTGTGAGAGTGAACCACTTTAAAAGTTAACCAAATATTGAAACAGCAAAGGAAAAGAAAAGGATAGGAGGTCTTCTCATGGAAGGTAAAAAATATATGTACAACCTGACCTCAAAATTACTGTTAATGATTATCATTGGTTATTTACAATGTGTTCATAACTGTGTATGTTGAGCAGACCAACAATAACCGCATTAAAAGCATAGTTGACAGATCTGCTGCTTTGAATTAGGTCCAGTGGAAATTTCAGTCCTGTCCGTCTTGGTATTCAAAGAAACGCACAACGATAAAAGTATTCAAGGCTTAAAGGCAGAGAATACGAACCTGTTTAAGCCACACGTTCGTTGTCATTATTTGATTTTTCTCATCCTGCAGTTGCAGAAAAGAAACAAAAATATTAAAAACAGTTTTTTATACGAATGCCCAAGAAACAGTGTTTTGGAAACAAGATAGTGGCCCAATCGTGGATAAATTCAGATGAAGACGGTTCGAAGCTGCAGGTAACAGTTCAAACGTCGTCTACAGCAATTTTCCAGAAGCGTCAGTGAGCCCGTACTTTGTCAATGGACCCGCAAGGTCTACTTTATCGTCCCATTTGTCATTACGCCCATTTTCAAAAAATATTCAGTGCATAAATTTGTTATAATACTTTATTCAAATAGGATTTACCAGCAGAATACCTCGCAATGGGAAAGGAATATGAAGGGTTGACAGAATGATTTGGAGGGGATTTCGGCTTCTAGAAACTTGCTGATTGTTTTGACGAGATTTTTTTTTCAAGAGAGCATTTCAGTTTTTCACCACAGGCAGGGAGGTACATACAACAAGTTTTTTGAAATGCCTTTTATCTAAATGGCTCACAAACACACAGCTCGTGTATTATTCGCGCCAGAGGACATGCCATCCTTTAACATGGCATTCCCCACATGGTGTAAACAATTGAGGGCGCGACTAGTCCTCAGTTGGCACACGCTTTCGGTTGAAAAACCTCAGTTGAAAATGAGGTTGTAAATAATGTTGACATTTGAACTTACTACGTCGATGAGTTGGGACATTGTCAGTCCGAAGTCGACCACTAGCGTTTCCGTGTTGTTTCTGACTGGACGGATGAGCCGATTGTAGCCCGTGAACAGTGTGTTAAAAAGCCTTTCCTCGGCCTCGGACGCAAGGCAACCTGGGAATAGGATAGGTGTAAGAAGGTTCTCTTAGGTCAGGTAAGGTTTTAAAACCTGCTGCAGGTAACAGCTGGCACATTGTGGAACACCATAGCGGTCGCCGACTAAAACGGTACCATAAACCGACTACTGGGTAAGAAGGGTGTGTGGACACCCTGCAGGACAAAAAAACAAGACCTGTTAAAGGGTGAAAGAGCTCCGAGCGAGCCAACGGCTATCCACTATGGGCTCCTGTTAGGGCAGTTGTCACATTTGTGTGCCGATGATACCGCTGGCCGGGGCCTTAAAGGAGGATCCTTGAGAAGGTATAAAGGTAAAAAAAAGTTTGTTTGGAGGAGGTATTGTGCATTGTGTTTTTTAATTTAAAAGTGAATAGGAATGTTGAGCTTCCGCAGACGAAAAGCAAAGCAGCATATGAATTCAAATTATACGGACGTCAGTGAATCAACAAGGCCCGATGTGATCATTGAGAAAATTGATATGGTTTAATTTGCTGTTCGAGTTGTCTGTCCCCTCGAATAGCAGTCCTGTTTTTTGTGCTTTCGATATTTCAATATATATATTTAAAAATATGATGACATCACTTAAACCGCACAGGCAATGCGTCTAAGATCTATCATGATTTGAACGGCAAGGCAGACTGGCATCAAGTCTACTGTTACTGCATTATAGTAATGATATCACTTCTGTCTTTATACAAATACGTTGTTGCTTCGGGTGGGAAAAGTCTGCACATGGAAGGGTTGTGAAAGAGTCAAATATGGATTCGACACAGCAATATATTTTTTCTCTTTTTTGCATGAAATGGCGTCTTTTGGCTTCTCTTCTTTTACGTTCTCCAAAATGTTGATTGCTGTAAACAAATTTGTTCCGAACACTTCTAATCCGATCGTGTCTCTTTCAGACTCAGACAAGAAGCACTTGTTTGTATAATTTGTAATCTTGATCAATTTTTATGGTGAAACCTAACCCCTTCACATTAAAGATTGCACACTACTTATTTTTAAAGCGTATTACCGTTCACAGCAATAATAGATAGTTCCACCACAACAAACGAGATATTGCATACTGTGTGTTTGCACTTCATACATAACACGCATTTAACACCTCTGGCCGGAACAATTTACACAACGGCCAATGTGCATAAAGACGAAGGATCGACTTGGATTTCCAAAGAAATCCCCGGCAAACGCTTTAGGCGAAGCGGGCCCTGTTTCCCTGCTCATCTGGATTATTACGGTAGCTGTCACAATGCGATATGACCACGGCAAATTGACATGACGGCTCAAGTGTGTGGTTTCAACCACAACGAATTATATCGCGCTGAGATGGAATATAGGGGCGGTTGGAAGTTGCGGTTTTCGCACAATGGCAGCGAAATGGTAGCCATTCATAAATAATTCAAATGCCAGACAAGTAATGCCTTCAAAACGAATCAGTCTTAACAAAATCCTCGATAGTTTTAATCAGTTTGAAAGAAACATCCGAGCATTGACTAGGGGAATTCACTGTGCCTTCAGCTTTGCCGGGTTGAGAGAGGCCGTTGCGTTCAATAGCTGTTTTGGTATGTGGACCAGCCGAAACAGTTCTTGTCTGTACTTTATTCTCAGAAAGTGACAGCGGAAAACACAACCCCTTTGCAAACGTTCAATAATTACCGAATTAGTTTGTTGACAAATAATGAAGTTGATTCACTCTACGTTGTGGTAACCGAGACATGTGTATTGAATTTTTGTTAGCAATGATACGAGGCAATTATAAAATTCTATTAAAGATTAAAATAAAATGTTACTGTTTGAAAAAAGCTTCATTTCAAATCGATAATGTAGACTCATTTTAGAATATAAAGCTGAAGTTTATACTGTGTTGCTCTTTGATTCAGAATTCTTTTGTAATTTAATTTCTCAGTTGCCATCATTATATCACACAAGAGTTAAAAGCTTTCCTAACAGTTTTTGTTACTTTAAAACAAGCAACCTCCACCAGGTCTGAAAAGGGGCAAGATCAGCTTTCGTCGTCGAGATAACATTGATACATGTTGTTTTCTCTCAGACGGGACACAGGTCTGGCCTCGCGTCCATGACTTGAATCAAAGGAGCCGGGGGCCCAGTCTGGGTACCCGTCCATTTGCCACCTCATTCCAGGATTTGATTACATTAATGAATGCCGTTATCGAGTGGGCAGGCCGAGGGGCAGAGTACTCGGGACAGGGGATCGCCATGGTAGAGGAGATGGAGTCGGGATGGGGTGTACCCCGTGGGCAAGAAGCATAGCTTCACCCTGGCGTCTATGAGTGGTTCAAGACCGGTTGGTATTCCGTCGGATGCGGCGACGTGCGGCAAGGCGTATGAATAATTTGCTAGCCCTAATGCCTGCCTGATATTGCCTGGTGTACACACATACGGTCACGCGCCGCTCATTTCTTGCGGTGGCAAATTAAAGGTGAAATCTGACATTTGGCCCGGACCAAATTCTATCGATTTTCTTGTTCCGTTTCTCTGGGCATTGATTCGGTAAGTTCTTAGATGTGGCCATGCGTCGATGTATCGCCACATTACACGTTGTATGGTGTAGGCCTACTTGAACTGACGAAATACTGCAAGAAATGACCACATCTCCCTCAACTACAAATTAAGAGTACACAATCAATTGTACACAGGGATGGGCATAAGTGAGAACAGTTTATGCTTGGGGGGTATGAAATGAGGTGGAAATCTTTAAACACTCAACAGAAGAAAAGTGACAGTTGGGACGTGAAGGGTCATCAAATTTAGTCATTTATATATCAACTTTGCGGTGCAGTTCACTTCAAATTGTGCAAATGCCTTGCTATGTCCAATAAACCTTTTGCGAGTTAAACAGAAATAAAATCTGGTACACTGAGTTATCTGATTTCACATAAACGTTGCAATTTGAATTTCCCAGACTAAAGACATTGTTACTATACCTCGTGATTCGGGGCAAGCTTTTGCATAGTGATCACCATCTCTGGAATGGACTGGTTCCTTTGTGCCCTTCTTATCCTTTGAAAACAGTGTATTGAGACAAGGCGTCTCTTATGGAACAAAGGAAAAGCTTGCCCCGAATAACGAGGTATAGCAATGGTGTCTTTAGTATGAAGAATTCAAATTATGTTGAAGTGAATTTAAAGAACTCGGTGTACCAGATTTTATTCCAATTTAACTCGCAAAAGGCTTATCCCGAACTCCCACACAAAATGCAGAATGCATGACTTGATCAGACCCCCCTTCCCCCGAGAAGGCCTCTTCTCAAGTCTGCAGAGGTCATCACCAAAAGTGGGCCAATATCTCCTTCAAGTGAGCGGGAAGAATATCTCTCCCCTTCGGTGGGGAAAAATAGATCGGCGCAAGATCGAGCTATACTCTTCGACCAATGGGCACTTCTGAGAAGGGCAATTTATCTTCAAGATCAAACATTATTCATGGAAATGGGAGGACGCGGTGACTTTAACCACCGAATCAACACACTTGACTTTGTTTGATCAGAGAATCCTTCTAGAGGTAAGTGAAAGGAGGAATCCTCTCCAGAAAGTCTGCCCCCGAGCGCCAAAGGGAAAAAAATTCTCCCGCGCTTCCAAATTGGGAATTATAATTCTGAAGACGCAGTCGTATCCTCCCGATGGCGTCTGTAGGCAAGGGATAATTTCTAAATGGAAATGACTTTTGATCTCAGCGCAATCCTGTTTTGAAATTACTGACCATGCACTGAGTATAGGCCTATCTAAAGATCTAATGTTTTAATTAGATTTTAACACGTGGACAGTGTAACAGAAGAAACGAGCTGAAGAAAGTAAAAAAAAATTAAACAAGGGTAAATCTTTGAATTTCGTGAAAGCACGTGTACCTGGAAGCAACAAAAGATTGGTGTCATCATTCGTCACAAAACCTGTGCTTAAGGTTTGGATTCTTTGTGTTGTTTCTACTCTGAGCCGTGAACGTGCGGGACATTCACCATGACGGAACAGTCAAGTAATATTGTGCGGTGTAAGAGTGCCTTAGATAACGTGTCTCTCAATACGACTGATTGGCCGTATAAGAGCCACTAACAACCTTTAGTATAATGTTCTTGCGGACTGACTGAGGAGCGTTATTTCAAACCAAACCACAAGGAGGGCCCGGCCAACACACTACATATAAACAGCATCATGTTAATTCTGACATTTCCAGACAGAGAGGCGCTCCATCGCCGAGTATATACTTATGGAGCCCCTCAGGAAACCGAAGCAGAACATATGCAAGAAAGGACCTCCTTTCTCTCCCCCGGAAGCCTGTATCGGATGGTTCAAATCTGAAGTAACAGCTCCAATACTGACGCAGGAGAAGAGGTAACTCGCTGCTCTGACGGACCGAAGTGATTTAAAGAGAAATTCGTCACTTACTGAATGTGCGTGGAGCCAGGGGCATCCATACGGACACTATTCACTGGTTAGGGTGTCCTGCTTGAAATTACATCTTAAATTGACAAGAATGTCCCAAAAAGCTTTCATCTCGTTTCTCTGAACCTCACTACAGAGAATAAATGACATGCGCACGCGTTTTGTGATGTACAATTGTAGGCTACTTTTTTCAAGATGTATTTTTTTTGTAGGCTACTTATTGTACACGTACGCCCAGAATAGACCTATGATGTACACTATGTAATTTCATAATATACCTTACTAGATTTTGGCCAAAAATCGGTCACGCCTGATGATTGTTAAAACGGGCAAATCCATTTCCATTACATAATTTTAGACGGGACAAGTTCAGTTTAATTATGCAGTGCACCGATGCCCCTCTTGAATATAACCAAATTATCAGACGGAATGGTGAACGTATTTTCAGGCTTATCCCTGAGATCTCCGTAATAAGGCTGAAATATTTGCGCGTGTCCATTAGCTCTCTGCGTCCAAACGTCGTCCTTGCTCCTCGATTGTACTTTAAACAGTTGATCTTTGCTTCACCGCGTCCCGGCTGGGACCCACTGGGGTGATGACAGCGCTCTCATATCCCGTTTCAGGCCCGTCTGCGGATGTCCAACCGGGGAGCATCGTGTTGGAGATATTTCAGTTGAGGTGAAGATAATTGGACGGAAGCACGGCATCGAGAGCATTCAATCCTCTGTTGTCAGCTGCTTAGTTATTCTGGATCTCTCCATTTGCTCTACGTCGTCCATCCCAAATGTTACCGAAAGTCCTTTACTCTTAACATCTGAAGTTGTTATACTTGAAATGTTTTTATTTTTGAACCAGCTGCCCGCGTTATGGACAACTGTCTTAAAGCAGCGAACCATCACTATCAAATTCACGGGATCCGTGGTTTTAATAACTTAGATTGAACATCCAACTCAGCAAACATTAGGCATTGTTTGACAAAGTATGCCGCAGACAATTTCCATTCCCAAGCATTAATGCACTAGTTTGGTATACTCCCTGTTGTATAATGGATTTTTTGAAAGTGTTTCGTACGATTTGAGGGGCTCTAAAAAGAACTAATACGGAATTTTTAATATGATTTTGGAGATCGTTAGATTCCAGGAAAGTTAATGTCTAGCATTCAAGTTTTCCCTCGTGCTTTGAACGAAATTTACACTCTGGCTAAGGGTGACAGAGATATTGTCAGTGGAGATATGTCAAGTGGCCATACGACATTCAAGGGATAAGTTCTAATGGGGGCAGATTCCGTTTTCCTTTTTTGGGGGGGGGGACTGGAAGAATGACTCTTGCTGTACTTAAAATTCATTTTTCCTTTATACCGAAGTAAATAAATTTAAAAAATTCTCCATGGGTGAAAAGACAGCTATCAATTTTTAAACAAAACGCCCATTAAACAGAACGCGTATTTTCAATATTTTAGGAGAGAGATTTTAAAACGGAAAACCTTCAACAGAACGAAAAACCCTGCTAACTTCAAATGCAGTACATGTTCATTCTTCTGTTGTCCATCCTCACTTCGTAGTTGTGTTTATCTACGCTTGGACGTGTTCCCTCTAGAAATCCGCATCTCACCACACTGGAACAGTTCTAGACCAAACTAGACTTCAAGCGCATTTGCATTACAGCATTCTAATGACGAAATCGAAGCGGGAGATGCATCAGAAAACAAGACATGGTCCATAATGGCGTCGTACTATCGCATGACGCGTGGGCGACGGCCAGGCTACATTGCAGGCATACCTTTCGTTTGACAGCTCCCGGGTTCAGGGGGTACAGGCTCATAATTTTACCGTCACAATCAGAAGGATTTCGTTATTATTCGTATGCTTTAAAGGAACCAGGAAATAGAAAGATTTTTATAAATTTTACTAAAAACCTTTGAAATTGCATCTTCAGGTTTTAAAAACTCATTTTAAATTTTTGTTGTGCAATTTTAACCCATATTTCGATGCTTTTTGGTTTTATGCTAATACAATTTCCATATTCATGACCAGAACTATGATGTCATTCAAGGCACTGAATCTCAATGTTGCACTGATTTGTGCACAGAAAATTTCTAGATTTTTTTACCACTGCTACGGCAGATTTTATTTTCTTTGGCAATTTATTGCTGTGTAAGTATATGGCAATAATCCAGCAAAAATCCTTTTCTCAGAAATGTTCCCTGATAGCAAATTTGGGGTTCACAATTTGAACATTGAAAACATGCATCCTGAACCATGTTTTCCTGGATTTACATCAAAGCAAAAGCGCCCTCACTTGTCCAGAAACGTTTGGTCAATTTTTAATGTTTGGAAAAGTGCACCGTTCAGTTCACGTAACTCAAAAAAGATGTCAAACAGTCTTCATACATGGAAGAAGAGTACAGAGATACAAAAAAAAAAAGATTCCAAGAAAAATCCATTTCCTGGTTCCTTTAATACTGTGTTTTTTCAGCTCAGCAAAGGTGGGATGCACACGATCGTTTCACCTTACCACATCGTCAAATGGAATTCGTTTCGACTCTACTGTCATTCAGCGTAGGTTGTACCCAAAAAATCTAAATTCCAGAACCTTTAAATTCATTATGCTATGTGACTGTGGAACATCACAACGAAACAATAAAGTAAACATGGCCTGTGAACGACGAATTACATGCAATGATGAGAGTGTGAACAGTGTCTGAATACCAAACATAAATCTATGGCAGAAAGTAACTCTTGAAATGGTACGTGCACCGAAATACAAAATTATGCCATTTTCTTGTGTAAAATTTAAACGTTTGTAAAATCCTACTCTGATAGACAAAATTTCAGTAGACCTAAGACATAATGACGTCATGCTGTAAAAATAACGTTTAGAGTTTAAACGCTTTTTAAACCCTTAAAAAAACACAGTTAAACTAGACACGTTTGCTTAAATGCGTTTAGGAACGTGTTTAAATGCTAAGCGCTTTTTCATGGTAAATGTTTAGCTTGTTGAAATCTGGTTAGCATTTAAACACATTCCTTATTTAAACATGTTTAAAAATGAACAAAAATAACTGCTTAAACTCTAAGCCACTTTTTAGAGTGATAGAAGCTAGGTGGGGATGAGATTCACCAAGCTCCGAAAAGAAAGTGAACATTTAAACAGTCATCATTATATGTCTTAGGCCGCGTCCGAAAACTTGTGGCTGTGACCGGACATAACGCGTCAGCTCCTGACCCTAGAAACCACTGCAGAGCGGCCCAGTGATAGCCATTTTTAGTATGCATCGGTGGCTAGCCGCTGGATATCGCTAAATGTCCACTCTCATGCAGCCAAACAAGTCGGGACGATTTGTGTCGTTTATGTCCAAATGTGCATACAATGGGGAAACGAACGTTTGCATATTCTTAGCAACGGAGGGCAAATGGAATAATCACGCTGGAAAATGCTTTATTCACAACTGAGATGAACAATTGGAATTAAACTGAGTCTTCGCTTTGTACTTTTCCTTATGGTGCACGGTATCCTCAGCAAGATGTTGTGTGATATGAAAGTATCCCAACCTCTATGTAAAATGGCATTTTAAAAGACAATGGTGGTCAGTGATGCATACGCCCGGAAGAATAACAATTGTATTTGTTTAATTATTTATCGATTGTATTAACTGCTTTTCAGTATTAACCTTTTGAGGTAGGATTACATTTTTTTTAAACATCCTATACACGCACACATAAACCTTTGACAGAAAACAGACAAATTTTTAGGAAACCATAGTGTACGAAGTATATCATACTGCACGAGTCTAATTTAAAACTACGGTTTATGGCTTTATACGTGTTTCTAAATCGCCTTAAGAAATTCTGTTAGAAAGACCGTGTTAAGAAAGCAAGGTTTAGAGAAATGTGATAAAGGTCATAATGACCAAAGAAACACGTACTACCACCCCTAAAGAATGGAATCAATTCCCAAATGGCATGGTTACTTTCCATTCTGACATGTCCTCTAATGAAAACCCCTAATGAGCGGAAACTGGTTTTCACTGGCTCCCGGCCCCGCCTGACATTGCCACAGCGCAGTAATAACTGCACTCCGTCGACCCACAGCTTTCGCAGAAATTTAATTACTGGGATCACATGTTCTCGCGCGAGTCCACTTTCATGTAATGTTTGCGTGCGCAAATCACTGACGGGCAGTGAGCGCGACTTTGCTTTCCTGTACGTATACGCCCGATGCTTTCCGGCGAGGTGCTGGTTTGCGGCTAAACGGAATTGCTCGGTGCTTTCTAATTTGCGGGAATGGATTAAGCGGATCTGAGTTCGGCACGTTTGCCTTCTTTGTTTAGGTGCCATCACAGAAATGTTTAGACCGCATGGTGCTGTGTAGGGAGACAGAGACTTGCTCCCTGGCGTTTATTATGATGGCACTGATTGAAAAGCTGGCAGGAGAGAGGGCGTTGTCATTAATCATGTGATCCACAACATGCACGTGACATCAATGAAGCGGGTCTCTTTCAAGTGCGCGGTCCGCATCTCATCAGTTTATGCATCTGCATACTCCTCGCTGAGGCTGCAGCGAACACTGAGAGGCACAGAATGCCTTGAGTGCAAGCAAGAGAAACAACGCGGGGTGGATAATTCTGGGGCAAAACACGGGTCTTTAAACGAATCTAGAAGGAATACACTCCAATATTTGCATTTCGAACCGTATCAAAGCCTCTTAAGTTTACAAAGCAAACAAAAGAATCCAAAAAGCGTTGTTTGTAATAATGTTAAATAACTGCATTTGAAAACGAGACAGAACAGTTTACGAAAATACATCAGGGAAGTAGGAAACCCCTAAAGCCGTGTATATTTGAATATGTCTGCTTAACTCTGAATATTGTGTATGTGTTATTAGAGTTCCATATAAGGACACCACTAAGTTTCCTTTAAAATGTTACAACAGCCATCAGAAAGTGATAAAATGTCCAAAAATGTGAAATTTAGCTAAGCAAATTCTAAGGCATTTACTAAGAAAAACAGGTCTCATAGGTTTGTGCACAGGGGCATCAAGTGTTGTGGAACTCTTTCCTGTCATTTTCATGTCTTAAAATTAAATCAGCTAACTTAGCCAAATTTATCTTTAATTAAAAAACATAAAAATCAACGGAATGTATGGGTATACTGCAGCGACAGTTTTCTATAAGAGGTTATCATTCGTGTTGCAAATGACGGGTATGTAGAACATTCGCCGGCAATGACCAACAGATGTAGAGAGAATTTGATTATATGATACCGTCTACCGTGTGGGGTGGATTTCATAAAATTCAACAGAAATGGTGTCACAGGTCACATTTCGCATCTAGCGTTACTTAAGGGCATGCTATCTCATAGTGTCTGCGACACTGACACAAACTAAGGCGCGATACGCGATTTGTTCCCACTGAGTATCGGGTTTAAGCGTTTCAACGCAAGTTAATTATCTAAAGGGGGCACGGGTAATTTTTATGTCACTCTGAATGCATAATTGAATTTCGTGAATGTGCATCTTTTGTTAAGGCACAGAGTAAGATTAACTTTAGTATTCGTATGCGCTAATGTCCGTTATTGACAACGGATCGTGATTTGAAGGTTCGAGTGAGTGAGTCCGAATGGTGCCCGCAAAATAATACCTTTAACTGTTGACTGAAATGTTTAATAAATGCGATGATCAATTAGTCTCCAGCCTTGGGCTTAAAGATCGAGACTTTACGATATATATTTTCACCGACAGGTTTCCAATGGGACAGTCCTGGGTATAATTGAACCACATCTTTACTCTCTTTTGTTTCAAGCTCGGACAAGGCCGTCCTTGAGCGGTGTGAATGCAATTGCTCATCACACGACGCATCGATCTGCCCGCAGATTAGGCCCTAAAG